CCGGGGGTGTCCCCGGGTCCCTGCCCGGGGGTGTCCCCAGGGTCCCTCGGCCGCGTCCCCGTCCCCCGTTCTACCTGCGGGCGCGGATCCAGCGGCGGCACCGGCGGCGGCGGGCGGGGGTGGCCGTGAGCCCTGCACCGAGTTGGTTCTCTTCACACCTGCGGCGACAGGGGACAGTCAGCAAACCCGCAGATGGCTCCCGGATTTGGGACACCCCCGCTCTCCTCACAAGGACGCGGGATGGAGCCCAGGGATGCGGGAGCGCCGCTCTTACCGGGGCTCCTGCTGACCCCGCTCTCCGCAGCGTAGTCGCGGCTGTCGCTGTCCCCACCGGTGTCCTCGCTACCACACGGGCCCGGCCGGCCCTCGGCCGCCCTGCGGCTSCCCCGGGCTGCTGCTGAGGCGTCGGTGCCTGCAGGGAGAGGGATAAAGGAGCGGTGAGGCCGGACGGCATGCCCAGCCCGGGTGCCGGCGGCAGGAGCGCTCTGCGCCATCCAACCGGCACACGGTGCTCAGGAAACCCCCAAGGACACCCCAAACCCTGGGGACACCACAGTCCCGTAGGAAAACAAGGCCGGAGGGATCCATCACCTGGTCCTCAGCACCCAGCAAGGCCCTGATGGCATCACAGCTCCACATTCCTGGATTTGGGGTTTTTTTTTGGGCGGGGGGAGGGGTCATATTTTCCTTTTGCCGATCATCACCCATTTATTACCGAGACAGCCGTGGCAGCTGCCTCTGCCTCTCCCTTCCATCACCCAGCAGCCGCCGTCCCAGCGGATAAATCCCAGCCCGGCGCTCCGGGGTGATGGATTGCAAACCCCACGGACGTGACGGGAAAGGTCTCGGCGCTCACCTGGCTGCTGCCGGAGACGCCAGGGATAAATCTTTGCCGTGACATAAATGGGCTGTTTCTCCTTGGCTGGGCTCTCAGGGTCACCGGGCGTGAGGACAAAGCCGAACGCAACAGATTGTGGCGGGGAARGAGGAGGGAGAGAGGGAAAAACGCCGGGAATGCTGAAGAGCRGGGAGGGGGGAATGAGCATCCAGGAGCAGGAGCCCCGTGGCGCAGAGAGAGCGGAGCAATAAATAATTTTCCAAGGGAGCTGTCGGAAAATCATGGGCACGGCAGGAGCATGCTGAGCACCGGGAGGGGCGTGMGGAGCTGGAGCCCTCGGATTAATAAAAGCTGCCTGTGGGGCTGGGAAGTTTCACGGCACCAGCCACGGCCGTGATTAAATCGTGTTAATTAAGTGTTTTCCCCCGATTGCTGCWGCATGGGAAGAGGGAGATCGTCAGCCGGGGGGCAGCAGAACCTGGGCTAAAGGAAGGGTGGGATGGAGGGGACCGTTCCAGGGGGAATTTGTCCCCTCAGCCTCCTMGTTGCCTTCAAGGAAGGGGAGAAGAAGAGGAGGGTTTGCAGCCACTGCTGGTCACAAATAGTCACCCAAATGAGGAGCAGCCGGCATTGGAGGGGGGTCAGGGATCCTCATCCCCTTGGAATTCAGTGTGGAAATGTGAAAATGGAGGCTGTCACTCAAAATGAGCTCCCAGGGAGACCCCCTCACCCTCTGCAGCTCCCTGACCAGAGCCAGGTGGGTGCTGAGAAGCGACAGGACAAGAGGAAAYGGCCTTGAGTGATTCTGGGGAGGGTTAAGTTGGATATTAGGGGAAATTTCTKCACTGGAAGGGTTTTSCAGCCCTGGCACAGGCTGCCCAGGAGTCCCCATCCCTGGGGGGATTTAACAGCCGTGTGGATGTGGCACTTGGGGACAGGGGTCAGCGGTGGCCTTGGCAGCGCTGGARGAATGATTGAACTCCATGGGCTTTGAGGGCTTTTCCAAACTAAATAATTCCACGATTGGAAGTGCTGGAGGGCGCAAGGAACAGCCAGAACAAGCCGCTGCCGCACCCTCGCCCYGCTCTGCCTCCCGTGCGCAGCCCAGGCTCTGCTGCTCCATCCCCCACAGACAGCCACGAACCTCCTAAACTTTCCCCGGGAGGTTTTCCAAGGACTGCCGTTAAATAACCAGAAAAAAAAAAAAAAATTAAAAAAAACCACCTCCCCGGCCCCTCCCAGCAGGACCCACCGCCCACAGAGGCGGCTCTGGAACGGCAGCGGCTCAGCCCCGGCGTGTGCGGGAGGTGGAGAAGCCCCGGAATAACCCGGGCCCGCCCCGCAGGGTGGGCGGCAGCAGCGAGGAGAGGTCCTGCTGCAGCTTCCCGGGGGAAACGGTGCGGGAAAACGCCGCGGGAARGGAAGGGAATGCGGAATGAGGCAGGGAAAGGGCTCAGCACGGGCGGCACAGGGAGGGGACAAGGCCGGTGCTTACCCTCGGTGTCCTCGGCATCCGCCTGGCCTTGGGGGCACAAACAGAGCGAGAGGGGGTGAAGCTGCAGCCCACGCACCTCCAACCCCATCCCGGGACACGCTGCTGCTGTTTCCCCAAGTTTCTCTTTTTATCCCTGYTTTTTCAAGGTTTCTCCATCACCGCATCCCTACTCAGGCCCTGATCCCCTCCCGGGGCTGCTTTGCCCGAGGATCTCCTGCAATCCCATCCATCCCCACTCGGACAGCCGGGATTAAATCTCTCCAGGCTCCATTTCTGCCCCCTCAAGGACACGGGCAACAGCCACGCGAATGCTCCGGGTGTTTTTTTCCCCCAGAGTTTTCCCTTGCCGAGGATGGGGACGATCCCCAGTGCCCCGCGGGGGTCGGGACCCGCTGTCACCTACCTCGGGTGGGTGCCCGGGAGGCGATTTTGGGGTCCGGGGCGGGCGGCTCGGCCGGGCGGGGCTCGCTCGGGGGTTGGGGTCCCTTCTTGCTGACGGGCATGGGCTGCGGCAGCATCTGCTTGGGCAAACCCTTGAAGAACCAGGCGCCGGAGCGTTTCCACACCTGAGGGAGCAGGGACAGGGCTCTCAGGGCTTCATCCCACCACGGTCCATAGTGGGCAACCCCACATCCCCACCCCGCTAATTAATGGCTCACGCTGCCCACAACAGCCCGTCGGACCCCAAACCTTGGTTTTTATGCACTAAATAAATGTCATTTTGCGGAGAAAACAAAACCATCCCGTAATAACCACGCTGAAGCGGCTGAGCCGGGTTGAGGTTGAGCCGGTGCCACCTCGGAGGTGTGGGSTGGGTGGGACCCGAGGTGACAGCGGGGACAGGGGGTGTCGCACCCACCTCCCGCTGCTCGCTGCAGATCTTGCAGAGCCAGATGGCYTGGGGCCGGTTGTTGGTGGTCTGCACCCCGCACTTGGTGCACACATTCTGCGGGGAAAACACAGAGCGGCGTCACACCGGGGCCACCAAAATGTCCCCGCCGCCAGCACGGGCTGGGCAGTGAGAGCAATTCAGCACCGGGAATTGGGGAAGGTGGAACGGGCACCCAAAATCTGCCGTGCCGCTGAGCTGGGGGTGGGTTTTGGGTCTGGGGGCGAGGGGGTCTCACCTTCTTGCAGTCCTCGCAGACGACGCAGGCAGAGCCCCTCGTCCCCAGCTGCTCCCCGCACAGGATGCAGCGGTTCACGCCGTCCCCCAGAACGCTGCGGCGCATGTCCTCCAGCCGGGTCATCAGGCGCCTGGGGACAGGGAC